ATTAAAAACTGAACATATGTTGTATGTCAGCTATTATAATAAATTGGCCTCTTTAACACTAATGGTGATACTATAATTAGTAGTTATCCTGGAGGGACTGATTTCACAACCTAGTCCTATATAAATAGTCATTATACTATATATTGTTAGGAGATAGTGATAAGAAAAATGTCTCTAAATATTCTATATATGGAGGTACTGGGGTTCGATCTCAGGAATTTGAACTTGCCAGCCTGGCATTCTACCACTTGAGTCATGCCTCCAGACCTTTAACTATTTTTGACCCACAATTGGTTGAATCTAGGGATGAAGAACCTGCATCCAGAGAGTAATTGTACCATTATTACTACTTGAGATGACAAAATGGTCGTTAAATGTGCTAATACTTGACTTCAAATATTTAATTAAGACCTTCAACTTTGAAGGCCATAATCACAAAGTTATGCTATCCTAAGAAGGCCACAGTGTTATAGATCAGGAAGAAAATAATGGGAAATAGCTGAATATGAGAATAAAGATGAAAAGCTAAGGAGCATTTACTGGCAGCACATGAGGGTCTATATGAACATAGGTAAGACTACATAGCATCTTATATCCTGTCTACAAATCTTTCTGATATACAGCCTGTGGATGGCTGTGTTGGCAGGAAAGGCTGCTTTTTACCCCTCAATCTCCCCTTACATTCACTCCCAATTCTCCTCCCAGGTAGAGAGGATTGGAGGACACCCTCAAAAGCTCTAGGGAGAAAGGAATCAGTCAAGATGTCCTGACACATGAACTGATGAGGCACCAGTCTAAGACAACCTGCCAAACTGCTAGGGGCATGGTCAGGGCAACAGCAGGGAAAGTAAGGGATGGTTGAGGGCTGAGTAGCCTCAGATAGCTTCCTTTTATTACAAGATATCTCATGAAATAGAATAAAAAGTCATTCTGCTAGGTTTATGGCTACCATTGCTACTGAATCTAGGTAAATGTCATTTTTCATTTCCCACTATGATCAAAGGAATAAACTGCAAATCTTAAAAAGTTGGTGAGACTAGAAAATAATATGAAAAAACAATCCATATCCTAGCAGTAATTGCTTTAGTACATTTTAAATTATGGCTAAGATATGAACCATGCAGACTATGGCTTCAGAAACAGAAACAGTCACAAAGCAAGAAAACCAGGATTGAAAGATGGATATGTCTTACAAGCCAGGCACCAGTGGCTCACACCTGTAATCCTAGTTACTCAGGAGGCTAAGATCTGAGGACTGCAGTTCAAAGCCAGCCCCCGCAGGAAACTCCATGAGACTCTTATCTCCAATAAGCCACTCAGAAAACTGGAAGTGGCTCAAGTAGTAGAGCGCTAGCCTTGAGCTGAAATGCTGAGGGACAGCGTTCAGGCCCAGTGTTCAAGCCCCATGACCAGCACATACACACACACACACACACACACACACACACACACGATACTAGGAAATTAACTCATTACCTAAATTATTTTTTAAAAGATATTTTATCAAAAAATGGAATCTAGAGTGAATAACATAGCTTTACTGTTTTAGTTCATGTTGCTCTTTCTGCCTTAAATGTCCTCCTTCTTCCATTCTTTCCGAAACCTTCCAGCTATCTTTCAAGGTACATGTCAATTAAGGTCTCTTGAAAGTCTTTTCTCTTTCCATATTTCCTAGTGCATTCGAGGTTCTTCTATGCTTGGCTAGTGCCCTGAATACTTTGTACTTTCTAAATCTGAGTCATTACTTGTCCTCTCCCCTGTAAATGGTATACTACAAGAGAGCAAGAACTTGATTCCAGTGGTCTTCCCATTTCTCGGACTTGAATTGTAGTATACGTTTGATAGCTAGATTAAATAATGGATGAAGATGAAAAAAAGCCCAAGTTTCTTAATCTTACTAGGCCCCAACATATAAAGCCTAACATGAAGAGTTAGCTGAGTGCTTTGAGAATGGAATGAATAGAAGCAATACCTAATTGGAAATCCTTACACTTGTCAACCTAGACCATGTTTATAGTATAAGCGCCTGCAAATCCTTCAAGTCAGACTTGTATAATCACATCCATCCCTATCTGACTTCTGAAAAGAAGCACATGACTATGAAAAACATGGCATTGTGCCTGGATCAAAACTAATCTGTCTGAATGAAAGTTTAATAGTGAAAGACATAGTGTATATATGTGTATATATATATATATATATATATAGTTATCAGGTAAATAAATGTGTATTTTGCTCTTAAAGTGGCTGTGGAAAGCTTTAAGTAATTAATTCCTACATCCAATTAAAAATGGGATCCAGTCATTTTCCCTAAGGAAATGATATTTGACACATGAAAATTATTTTTAGGCTTTTCTAATTACTGACAATTATGCACTTAGACTCTATTTCTGCATCGTTTCAAATATTCTAGTTCCGATTTTTGTAATGAAAAATTAACAGTTTCTATCAAGACCACATCTTTTCAGTAAGTTTTTTCAAAGATCTAATGGCACAGAGTTGGGTTTTGACGATTTTATTTCCCTAAAGAAGAGAACCAGATTTTTTTTTCCCTAAGAGGTAAAACACTACCCTTCCTGACAGGAAGCCAGTATAGGTAAGGAGGGAGGGGTCTATTATTTTATCTGCAAGGCTTAATTACTTACGTAGAGTGAAAGAGAGAGCCATCCTGTTCTAAGTAGCCCTCGTAGTGGACCAACATCAAATCCCCTCCTTTAGTCTTGCGATGGCAGATGAACGGTTTCTGAAGGACTTCGATTTTTACTTCTGGCTCTGGGATCAGAGCCCCACTCAGAGAGTTAACAAACAGCATCAAGATCGCGTTCCACAAGATAGCTCTCATGTTGCTGAGGCTGGAAAGAAGTTCCCACAAAAACAGGGAAAAGGCTCCCGACTTCACAGAGTTAAAAATGTAGATGAAGGCTTGGGGACTTTGGCCTCCAGCAAATTCAGGACACCTTCTAAGCCGACGTGGCACTTTCACTACCAACTCTCCCACCCTCGGGAGGACTGACTTTTAAAGAGTTAAACACCAGCCTAGACCTGATTGGCTCTTCTATCACAGCCTCACGAGAAAGCTGGCTTTCCATTGGCTGGAGGAATTGTCGATCACATGCCGCTCAAGCCAATGCCTCTGCAGTAATGTAATTTACCAGTATGCTTACCCTGCAGCCACCAAAGCAAGGTCCTAGATCCTGTAGGATCAAACAACTCCTCTTAGCTGGGAGTTAGGGAAAGGGGTTTTCCAGCCATAACCTGGAAACTCCTTGGGTGGATTTACCTCTTTAGCACTCTTGATCAGCTGGGTTGAAAGATTCTGGGGCAGGTGACACTGTGGGAGTTTCAGGAAGGGCTAATTCACTTTAGCTTTCGGAGAGGGTCCCCCACAAAATGCCAGGATCCAAGGCTCCTGTTACTATTTATTCAGAGTATTAATTTTAAGGACTTAGAAAGTGCTTTATAGCGTGCAAAGTGCATTCTCAGTGTATCAATCTCCCTGCGACCATTTAAGAAAGTATTTTTTTTCTTCCCTATTTGAGAGAGAAGTAAATTGATGACTTGACCTCGGAGCATTTAAGCTGTCTTCAAAGCAGATCTGATTCATTCCACAACACTGGTAACGTTATATTTACGTTATTTTATCTTGTATATGACCTTAGAGGGTAAATAATGGAAGAGAATGCGTCGAAACCCTTTAAAAAGCAATGGTAGTAATAATCATGGTTGTCAATTATACGGCTTTAGCTTCCATCTTCCATTTCTATAAGTGATGCCTAATTTCAAATGCAACAAATGTTCATTGCAGCCTGTTTAGAAGAAACTTGAAAGCACCAAGGTAAAATTCCCAGATAAAATACAGGACACAAATTTTAACAGCTGCGTTTCAGATTAAAAAAAAACACACCAACAATTGATGGTAGTTTTGTTTACTAAATCTGGCACTCTCACATTAAGGAAAACGAAAGACTCACTTCAAAATATCATTTTGACATTTTAGTGCACTCTTCCTTGACATTACTTAATTTGTAGCCTTACTCAACCTTCTACTTAATCACAATCAGCATTTTTCTTGATCAAAATACCTTCTAAACAGAGCATTTCCACACTTTATGCATAGGAATTCCCCTGTAGATCTTGTTAAAAATGCAGTTTTTTTTCTGAAGGTCTAGGCTTGGTGCTAGATTCTGATTTCTAAGGAGCTCCTGGGTGATGTCAATGCCACTGCTTCCCAAACCAAACGTGCAGTGGCGAGGTCTCCAAATTTGGATAACACATGTTTACACAGTCTTACAACATTCCATGACGAATTCCCCATATCCCTGTCCAGAGGACGGGACCACTACGCCCTTGATATTTAGAATTGGACGATAGGGACAGGAATCCGAGTGGATAACCTGATAGGTCAAGTCGACCCTCAGTCAGGCCTGGGAAATCGATAGCCCACCTTTTTGCGCCTCCCAGGTACAGTCCAACTGTGGCCCATCTGGTCTTCATAGGCCTCCGGCTTCATGCGCCCTGGTCTCGGGACCACCCTCCTCTTTCCTCGTCCATCTCCTGCTACCCTCAGACCAGCATCCCAGGACTCAATTTCCCTGCCAGCCTCTCTCCCAGCCGCAGGCCCGCCGCCACTGCATCCTTAAAATTGCGGAGTGGATTGTTAAAGAGGATGCACTGGCGCGGTGCACTGAGCATGCGCGGGCGCGCTCCGGGCCTGGTGGGTCCCGGGCTCAGGTAGCGCGCTGTGGCTCCGCCCACAACCGCTGCCTCCGTCCCCTCACTTTGGAAGCCTGTGGCACCCCGGCGGGCCCGCCGGGCGCCTTGGCTTCCTCGTGGGCAGCGGGCACGGCCCAGCCGCGCTGGCTGACGGCCGGTCGCGGCCACAGCCGCCCAGGCCATCGCGGTGACCCCGCCCCCGGGCCAAGGATGTGAGGCGGGCCGGGCGTCCCCGCACCGGGCCCGGGCGCCGGACGTGGGCGTCTGGGCCTCGCCGGGCGATGATCCTGAAGTCGGAGCTGGTCGCCTCCCGGGCCCAGGGCCAGTGAGGAGGCCGGCGGGTGTGGGCGAGCGGCCCGCCGGGCGGGGAGCAGGCCCAGGGCCCGCGGGCGCCATGGAGGGGGTGCTGTACAAGTGGACCAACTACCTGAGCGGTGAGTGGCCGCGCCGGCGGGGTGGAGGGGGGCGCGGGGCGCAGTGGGCCGGGCCTTTGTCTGAGCGGCCGGGGCGGCGTCTGGACGCGACCTCTGCGGACTGGAGCTGCGGTGAGCACCCAGCCCGCAGAGGCTGGCGCCCATCGCGATACCCGCGGCCTTCTCTTGGGGCTGGGTAGAGAGCATCAAGGAAAGCTACCGAAGAGTGAGATGTGGCATGGCCTGGAAGACACGTTGCCCGGATGATGCCACCCGAGTTACGGCTCTGTGGGGCCCGGGGCGGGGGCAGGCTGGCCAGGTCCTCGGCCGGGTCGGAGGGTTTCAGCTGAATGTTCCCTGCGTGTAACCAACACTATGTCAATCTTTGGGGGATCCAGATGTCAGAGTTCAACTGTTTGAAAAGCTCCAGAGTTACTGATTTGTCTTCCCTAGCAGTGTGTGTGTGTGTGTGTGTGTGTGTGTGTGTGTGTGTGTGTGTAGAGTGAAAGGAAAGAAAGGAGAGGAGATGTGTGTGTGTGTGTGTGTGTGTAGAGTGAAAGGAAAGAAAGGAGAGGAGATGAACAACCAGCAATTAGATTTGATTTAAGGACATAAGATGAACACATCCAGGAGTTGACAGAGACTTTAGAAAGATCAAGCCTCCTCTTGTAAATTGAGCAAAGCGCTGGTCAGCACCTGACATTTCCCAAACAGACCCACCTTTGAGCTATTCACATCTAACCTATCCTAATTGTTGACATCTTGGAAGGTTCTTGAAGCAGAGGTTTCAAGAAATCACCAAAACAATGAACACAAGTATTAAAAAAAAAATCATTTTCTTTTCAGGCCGAGTAGAATGGTTGTAGAAAACGCTCTCCTGCACCATATCCGATTTCTCCAAATATCTTGAGAAATAACGATATTTCAGCTGTGAAGATGATTCCCAATGACCTTTTAAAAAATCATTTGTACATATATTCAAATAAAACAAGCTTTATGCTGGAAACCATGCTAGGCACATTTTTTGTAACTTTTTTTTAAATTATGGAAAATGGGCTAAACATTTACTTTATTTATGTATTTATTTGTCGGTCAGGGGGCTTGAACCCCAGGGCCTGGGTACTGTCCCAGAGCTCTTTTTGCTCAAGGCTAATGCTCTACCACTTTAAGCTACAGTGCCACTTCCATTTTCTGGTGGTTAATTGGAGGTTAAGAGTCTCACAGAATTTCCTGCCCAGGCTGGTTTTGAACCTCCATCTTTAGATCTTAGCCTCTTGAGTAGCTAGAATTACAGGCATGAGCAACCAATGCCTGCCTGACATTTACATTTTTAATGATAATGTATCCCTGTGCTTGTTGAAGTTTAGAAAAGAGATTGTCCCACCCTTTCTTATGTATAATAATTGTCTAAGCATATTGTAGTTTAAAGTTAACCATATGGTTCTCTGGTGTGGTAAGAATGGGTGTGCCAAGCAGGATTCCTTGGCAAAATTAATTTGAGGATGTGTCCGCTGACAGCCCAGACAGAATGCACCTGTTGGGTGTATCTAGAATATCTTCCTTTTGCCTAGAGTGATTAGTCCTGAGTTGTTTATTTTTCCTGTAATCATAGAAGACAGAAAGTGAGGAGAGATTTTTTTTCAGAACATTTGTCCTCTTTTTCAAGAATCTGCCATGATATCAACAATTAGAGTAGGTTAGATGTGAATAGCTCAAAGGTGAGTCTGTTTGGGAAACATCAGGTGCTAACAAGCACTTTGCTCATTTAGAAGAGGAGGCTTGATCAGGACACTATCCTTCTAGTCTCTGTAATAAACTCTCACATGTGTTCATCTTATGCCCTTAAATCAAATGTAGTTGCTGGTTATTCATCTCCTCTCCTTTATTTCCTTTCACTCTTACTAACCCCCTCCCCCCTCAACTTGTTTTTGTTTTTTCCTCCTTCTATATGGACAGTTAGGGCTATTAGTGTATATCTGTTTCCTGGTGAAACACATCTTTCTCTCTCTCTCCCTTTCTCCCACTTCCTCCCACTTCCCACTTCTCTTTCTTCCCTTTCTCACTCTTTTCCTCCCCTCTTTTCTCTTCTCTTTCTCCTTCCCTTCTTCCTCTCTCTCTCCATTGTCTTGTGTATGCATCAATAAAGCAAAATTGCTTTAGAAGGCTGTTTTGGGATCTTTTTGATGTGATGCCCATACTGTCTATTCTGTTGGAAAAGAACTGAGCCCAGTGCCAGTGGCTCACACCTGTAATCCTAGCTACTCAGGAAGCTGAGATCTGAGGATCGGGTTCAAAACCAGTCTGGGCAGGCAAGTCCATGAGACTCTTATCTCCAGTAAACCACCAGAAAACCAGAAGTGGCACTGTGGCTCAAGTGGTAGAGTACTAGCCTTGAGCTAAAGAGCTGAGGGACAGTGCCCAGGCCCAGAGTTCAAGTCCCATGACCCACCAAAAAAAAGGGGCATCACATGAGAACACTTTTTTCCTACCAAGTAAGAAAAAGCTCGCACTCTTGAGTGGTCTCAGAGCCTACAAGCCTCTTCCTTGTGGGCACCTGATCCTAGAAGCCCATCACAACACTGGCTACTTTTCTGGATATACTTAGAATTATGGTTCAGCACTTTCTCTTTCATTAAGAGATAAATCTACTTTGGAAAAGAATGGTAATTATCTGTGAGGATTACATGCATTCTTGTTTCTTCCACTTTGCTATTTGGCCTGCCGCAAATAGCATGTTTGTGTATGAAACTGTGATAGCAACATTTCTACGTTTTTCTTCTGATGCTTTAAAAATAGCTTGGTATGGTTTTGCACAGTTACTTTATATAACCCCAATCCAAAGTCTTGTTTATTCTGAAATTTTCTCCAAGTTGAATTCATAACCTATGCAACTTTTTATGGAATATATATATATATTATATATATATATATATATATATATATGTCATGTGGACAGCTTGATTTGGAATACTTTGACAAATTTGAGTGGAGGAATTAAATCAGTTTATCACTGATCCTTTGAATTCTTGGAGGATATCAATGCCTCCCTCTCTCTCTCTCTTTCCTCATTCTTCCTTTTTTGTTCTCTTTTTCTTTCTTTTTGGTTCTGGGGATCAACTCAGGGCTTTGTGCAGCTGAGACCAAAGAGCTACATCTTTAACCTTTGATGTTGTTAATTGTATTGGACTTCTGCTATTTGGTAGGCTTTGTGGTGTTGAACATGGTAGACAGCTCCTTCCCTCCTGTAGTCTGTGGGTCAGAAAGATAAAGTGGTAAGACGCATGTTCCAAGTGAGACAGAAATAAAGAGATTAGATGGAGGGAGCAAGGAAGGAGAGAGGAAAGGGGGAAAGAGGGAGGGAGGGGGAAAAGAGGGAAGGAGGGAAGAAGAGAAAGACAGGGTGTGTTTAGGTTGTTGAAGAGGGCTGTTTTAAGTCAGCAGAACCTGAAGAGCAAAGCAAGCTAACTAACTGGCTGGGTGGACCAAGACCACAGTGCAGCTGGAGGCTACTTTGGAGAGCTTTTCAGGAACTGGAAATGCTGGGTTGTGAAAGGCTGGAGACAGAGTTTGAAGGAAAGAAAGGTGACCCACTTGGCTGGAGACATCTTGTATCATTCTTTCCACATTTATTGCATTGTGCAAAATACTAGTGTTATTTTGTGAGTCTCTTTAGTTAAATTTATAGGTATTAGTTACTAGTTAGAAAAATCAGTCCCTGAGAATAATACAAAATTTGTATGAATGTGTTCTATTTTCACTCACTGACTAAACATAGTTATGTACCCATTGCTCCTTTAATAAGCCTTGAAAGCAAAGCAAAGAAAACCTGAGCCATTTCAAATACTCTGGGGTTTAGTGTTTAAATCTCTCTCAGATGGTAACACATTAAATTTATATGAAAAGAATTGATTAAACACGTGTAGTGATATACACACTATACTACTGATTGGCACTGTTGCTTGTTATTTGAATCTTTTACATCTTAAAGGAGGGCTATATACTAATGCTGTAGCACACTGACCCAGGAATCAGAGAATTAAAGTTAATAATATCTCCATCATTTTGAACCTTAATGTTTTCCTCATTTATAAACAAAAGGGCTGGGCACTGGTGACACACACCTATAATCCTAGCTACTCAGGAGGCTGAGATCTGAGGATCCTGTAATCCCAGCTACTCAGGAGGCTGAGTTCTAAGGATTGAGGTTCAAAGCCAGCCCAAGCAGGAAAGTCTGTGAGACCTATCTCCAATTAACCACCAGAAAACCAGAAGTGGTGCTGTGGCTCAAAGTGGTGTGGCTAGAGCTCAATCCTTGAGTGAAAAAGCTCTGGGACAGCACTCAGGTCATGAGTTCAAGCCCTGAGACTGACCCCCCCCCCCAAAAAAAAAGATTTACCAGTTTATAAGAATAGAAAAATAAAATCTAGCACTTAAAATTTATCAGCTACTATTCTAAACATTTCACCTGTATTCATTTGCTCTTTGTAGCAATTTTAAAAAGCAATTGCCTTTATTATCTTCATTTTCCAGATAAAAACACTGGTATCAGAATGCTATTGTAGTCACACAATGAATGAATGACTCTGGAATCAGTGCTCCATTGCATAATGCTTTTAAAAGTCCTTCCTGCTTGTCATATAATTCTATCTAATTCATGATGTACCTATGTCTGAAGTATGCTTGAGCTAGAATACAGTAGTTTGGGTAGGAGATGGGGAGGAGTTCAGAAATGAAGAAAGCTTTGCGTGCACATATTGTATATGTTTTATGACAAAAAGATTTTTAAGCTGTGCTTTCCACTGCAGTTTAAGGTCATTTTTGTGCCCATTCAGTGGAAGGAGAGCTGCTGCTGTGAGTTCCAGGGTAGTCTTCTTGGACCTGTCCATCAGGTTAGGATAATAACACATTGTAGTACTGTACTCCAAAAATAACAAAAGCCTGCTTCATGCTATCACTATAATTTTGCTCCCCTCCAAAGGAAGGTAGCTCTTCCCTTATGTTTGTATGATGTAAAAAATACC